TTTTTGATAGTTGAATGATAACTTTGATAATTCTTATTGATGGTTTGCTGTTTACAACTTTGGCACCAGATGCTGCCATAAGCTGTTTGTTTTTCTCCCCGTCTTGACAAATTTGAGATTGAAATCAATTTAAATCATTTTTTTACAGATTAAATACTGTGTGAAATTCGATTTAGGATGGAGACATTTAGATAAATTATCAACTTAGACCAAAAATTGATTTAGTATGGGCTAGAGGGATTTTAATGGTAGAAAAAAAAAACGATTTTATTGCCTAAAAAATGATTTACATAGATTTTTGTAAGCAGTGAGATCCATCAAAATCTCAACAAACTTAGTTTAATTTAACTTTTTGTTTCGAGACTTGAGTCAGTGTTTTTTACAAAATAAAAATCTTTATCGGAGCTACAGAGAGCAAAAGTCACTCGGGGAGAGTTTTGTTACCGGAAACTATTGTGACAAGGGAAGTCTCTTCTGAGTTTTGCAAATCTAAGGCCTTCCACGGTAAGAAAGGTAAATATATTATCCAAAATTTCTCCAAACTTCATTTTCTTTATCAACGTTCTTAGTGCAATTATGATAGACAAACGACATATAATTCAAACACTCAATTTAGATAAACTTTTTTTTGGTGCAGAAAGTTAACAGATTAGTTATGCAGAGTTAATTCTTAGGTCAAACAGCAACACAAAAGTCAAAGTAAAAACATAGTTTATATTTTTATTTCCAATTATCTTTATTCTTTGATAACCGATAAAATTTGAATATAATCTGTATAGAATAAGTATAATAAATACGTATCAAAATTAAACAAAAAGAAGCTGACAAAAATGGATTTAAATCCATTAAGAATTGGTTTGAAATTGTTTTTTAAACTACATTTTTGTATTAAACTAAATCTATTTTAAATTGATGCATATCTATTTTTTCAGGTCTTTGCTATATTATCTGAATAAAATTGAGTCCAATCCATTTTTTGGCACAAATTGTCGACAAGCAATCAGCGCTTTTGCATTTATTTCGTGAGGCAAAATATTGGAGGGGCGAGGCGTATTAATAATTTTTCAAAAGGTGAAGCGCGCGAGAGGCAAAATTTGTCAAAACCAAATTTAACTGCGAGTTTTTGTTTTTCCTCATTAGTTGAAGGTCATTTACAAATTGATGTGCTATTCGGTTAGAATGTTATTAATAGTTTAATGGTTGAAATAAATGACAAACATGGAAATTGAGAATTTCTCGAATAGCTTAAGTAATTCAACGGTATTTACCGTGAGGCTTGCTGTTGCAATAAATTCGAAACCAATCAGTTTATAAACTACTCCCAAGCCCAATAATCATAATATAACTTCAATAAACTTTTTCGAAGAATCAGTTCAGTCGATCGCCATTCTACACTTCTATTCGGTTTTCAGGCCTCCACCAATCATAAAAGTTTATATAAGGTCTGCTTACGGATGCTCCAAATAAGGAGGAATGTCCATTGAACTTGACGTTTAACCAGACGATTGTTCTAGAAAGCTATTATGGATCAGTCGCGTAACTATTTCAAAATCACCCTTATTGGCCATGGATACACGGGGAAAACAAGTCTCCTTCGGCGATACACAGAAGGTACTTTAAAGACATCTTGAAAACATAGTAGTTGATTCTTATAAACATGACAGAACGCTGTCCAGTTAAGCAACTTCTCATCACAGCAGGGTTAGCTTGAAAAATAAGTCAACCAATGATTGTTGACAGGCATTCGATACCTATCGGGCCAAAGTGGTCGGAAATATGATCGGACGAACAAGCATTTTTCAGTCGAATAGTTATCGAATCTGGGTCTTGATTTTTTTCAGACGACCAATGGTCGAACATTTTTCAGTCGAAATTTAGTCGAACAATTTCGTTCGAATCGAAAACCAGTCATACAGCTTACAATCCGTGAAAAGTTTTCCATAAAAATCATAAAAACTTTCTGGTGACTCGCTCGAATCATGCATCGCAAAATTTTTAAAAAATTTTTTTTGAAAATAATCATCCAAACCCCGTTGTACAAAAACAAAATTGCTATATTAAGCATACAGTAACGTAATATTTTGATCAACTAGTTCTGTATTCGACTAGCAACAATTTCTAAGCCGGATTAAATAGGCACCATATCGTTAACAGCACCAAGTATATCGCACGTCAGTTAAACCAAACTGAACGAACTGGTAATTTTCAAAACTTTACAATTTTAGGAAAAACAATCACTGGTAATTATCGTTTTAAATTTGTCAAACTCTGTTTTTTGAACTCAGAAAAACAATATCTTCTAGTTAGAATAAAAAAGTTCCATCAGAAATGTTAAATTAAAAATTCAAAAAAATAACTGAATAAAAAATAAAATAATCCACCACAAGCATAAAAGTTCCGCACTTTCTTGGAAAGTCGGAATAAACAAAAATTGTATTTTCACAGGGTTTTCTTTGATCAGAACGAAAAAGACTGAGAACAGTTCCGAGCAGTACTGAATTAGTAACGTTTAAGAATTGCGACTTTCATCTCGGATGTCCTTATCTCTAATTAAAGTCAGAAAGGCACTCTTCTGAGTTTGACAGATTAATGTTTGACATTAACTGAATGATTATTGTTCCGACTTTCGAAGAAAACGGAAAATTTATGCTCGGTGTGGTTTTTTTATTCAGTCAATTTTCATCGAGCGAATAAATAATTTTCAACAGAAATTTTTTATACCCCATTGAAGATATTGACTCCCTGAGTTCAAATATAAAAAGATATTTCAAGCTTATTTTTTGTAAGGCTCTATGGGTTTGAAAATTGCTAAATTTGCCATGTTCTGGGCTAAATTATGGGCGCTTTGAAGTGTTTATTCATAATGCTGAGAACCTAACGCGAACTATTTATGCGTGGCGAATTATTCCGCACAACAAAATCGTTCCAAATTGAATTGAGGCTAGTTTATTGGTCGTATTGTTTTTGTGCGACTCCAAATTTTACACTTCGATTTTGTCCAAAATTTACAGGTTTTCAATATTTTTTTTTGCAAAAAATATTCGATATGAGCTAAGGAATAGTCGAAACATTCAGGGCTTTGCCCTGATTACGAGCAGTCTTGTTTATTCAATACTGCTTTGCACTGTACAATAAATTCAGAAAGTACATCAATAGTATTTTAAGTTAAAAAGTCAAAAAAAGTCTCAGGTGACATGAAAATTCTATCCAAAACAACTTGTTACAAAAGCAAAAATTTTCTAGAGAAAAAAGCACTGCGTGCTCAGTGATTCTCTCACTTTCTTCAAAAGTCGGAACAACTAGCCTTGCAACACGCTCGTCTTATAATTTTAGATTGTCTGGTTATCAATGACGCTGAGAAAAAAGTATATGCTGCTTCTGCGGAATATAAGAGTGCCAAGGGCACTGAAATAACTAAGTCTCATATTCATATTATGGAGACGCAATCTATATCCACAGAAGAGATTTTCTAAAATTTAGCTGAAACAAAAAAAAACATACACAAACCATGACAAAACTGCTCGTATCAGGGCGAAGCCCTGAATGTTCCGACTGCCTTTCGAGGTTTATGGAGCAGTATAGCATTAAAAAATTAAATGAAATGAAACAAAATGAAAATAAATTTTTTTCTAAAATATGAAATTTTTAAAATAAAATCATCCCCCACACGCCATATAAAGTACAAAAGGATAGGTTTCGCTCCTTGTAACAAATCACTTATGGCAAATAAGCTTCTTTCAACCAGTTTGGAAAAATTTTAAGACGGATTAACTCTCGGCTTACGCGCTAATAGCGCGAAATATATCGCGAGTTAATTGTCCCAAATTGGCCAAAATGGCAATCTTTAAACCGCCGTAACTTTATGAAAAATGATCACAGGTAAAATATCTTTTCAAATTTAAGCTCAGGACAACAATACCTTTTGAAGGATATAAAAAATTCCGTCAAAAATGGCTAGTTAAACAGTAGAAATTTGTCTGAAAAAAAAACCCACCCCGAGAAAGTCGGAACAAAACTATACTTACAGATATTTACTGTTTCAACGTAAGAATTAGTGATAATCAAGCATGTGTTTCTCTTATTCGCAAAATACAATTTTTGTTCCCACTTTCGATACGAAAGTAACGAAATATTTGTGCTCGGTGGGTTTTTTTTTCTTCAGACAAATTTCGACTTTTTAACTAGCCATTTTTGACGGAATTTTTTAAAATCATTCAAAAGCCATTCTTGTTCTGAGCTTAAAGCTTAAATTTGAAAAGATATTTCACCTGTAATTATTTTTCGTAAAATTATGGTGGTTTAAAGATTGCCGTTTTGGCCATTTTGACCAATTTGGGACAATTAACGCGCGATATATTTCGCGCTATTAACGCGTAAGCGGAGATTTAATCCGTCTTAAGATTGTTCCAAATTGGTTGAACGAAGCTTATTTGCCATAATTGATTAGTTACAAGGAACGAAAGCTATCCTTTTGTACTTTATATGGCGTATGGGGGATGATTTTATTTAAAAAATTTCATATTTTAGAACAAAAAAATTTCATTTTGTTTTATTTCATTTAATTTTTTTGTGTTATTACTGCTCCATAAACCTTAAAAGGCAGTCGGAACCTTCAGGGTTTCGCCCTGATACGAGCAGTCTTGGTGGCTAGGAGTCTTTTTTCTAAGCCGCGCGGCCATTATGGTTTCGAATTGCGCCGCTTAGATCTTTTGGATCTACTTAACAATCCCCCCCTATTGTATCTACTAAAGAATCTCCACCCCTGTAAATAAAATTGTAAATTCGCACTGGAGCGTTGTATGTAAATTAGAATTTTGCTGCATTCTGATTGGTCGAAAATTCGCTGCAAGTAATTTACTTAACAATCTCCACCCCCCCCCCCCCCCGCCTTTCAAGAAAGGGGGGATTGTTAAGTAGATCCTTTTTCTCTTTTTCTCAATAACAAGTTATATTTTATATGATAGATTTTCGAAAAACATAAATTACGAAGCAGGATCGATGATTATTTTAATGGTTCAGAGTCTTTTTTTTCTAAATCTCGCTGGCTGTGACTTCTTAATTCGCGCTGCCGATCGTTTTCTTAGTCGTTCCGCGAAAGTATTTTGTTAAGTCGTGCTGAGTGTCTTCTCAAGTCGAGCCGCTAAAATCTTTTCTTGAAACGCACCGCCAAAAGTGCCAAAGTCGGTTACTTATAATGCAACCATGGCTACCCAAATTAGGTGTGATGCAACCAATGTGACTCAAAATGGGAATGTTGCGACTTGTTGCGACCGAAGGGTTTTTGAGCGACTTTGAGCTGCCCAAAAAACGTTTGTTGCAACCATATTGACTCAAAATGGGTGTAATGTGATAATGTGACTTTGCGCGACGGAAGAAAATTTGGGAGATTTTGCGCAACCAAAAAAATATATTGCAGTTTTAGCTATGTTGCGACTTTGTGAGAATCAAGCCTTTTGCTGGAGTATGAAATTTCGGTCGCAGAAAATCAATTTATGCAGGGGCATTTGTCCATGTGAAACCGCCCCGATCAACTAGTGAATTTATCTCCAACCCAAACAAATAAAGAACAACAAATAACAAATTAACAAATCATGGGTGTTTATGTTCCGATACAGGGGGTGTTAAATGGGTAAGTTTTAGGAGGTGGTAGGACAACAAGCCGAAGGGCCAACAAACCGAAAATACGATTACTATTCCATCAAGCCGAAAACTGATTTTATTATGCAACATAATAACAGATTGCCATTGTTGCTATGCAATTATTATGTAACTCTTATGTAATTTACGTAACTCTGATGTAATTTCGGCTTCAAGATCTAGCGGTTTGTAGATAGGGTGGTTTGTTGAATATCCGCCGTTTTAGGATTATTGTGTATTGATTAGATGAGTTTGACGATCGATATGTGGCGACACAGGCTTTTGACTTCATCACTCAACCCATACAGAGAGGAGGAAAGCGTTATGACCTGCATATATGGACCCTCAGTGGCCAGGCATGCAAGTATCCCTCGTCGGTGCCGCCGATCAACTTCAGAGGCTCAGATGCTATAATCTGTGGTATGTAATAACCCATAGAGTGCTATCACTTTTTAACTAGCCATTTTTGACGGAACTGTTTAGTATCATCTGCAAAGTATTGCTGTTTTGACCGCAATTTCAAAAAAAACTTTCAACTGTGATTTTTTGGGGGGTAAAAAATTGCCAATTAGGCCAATTTGGGACCATTAACGCGCGATATATTTCGTCAGATTAACGCGTACTCGAGACATTCAATTTTTTACAGAAACTGTATTTCTTGCCTTTTTAGTGTTCGCAGTTGATGACGAGATGACGATGAGTGTTCTGGATATTTGGAAAAAGAAGGCCCTTGAGGTAGTCCACCCGGACGTTCCTTTCATTCTAGTTGCCAACAAGTGCGACAAGAGACGCATGGATGAACGGGACATTCGCAATATGGCGGATCAAAATGGCTACTATTCCTGGTTCCAGACATCCGCTCAAACTGGCAAAAACGTCTCGGAGCTCTTCGAAGGAGTGGCGGATATATTAATAACGGAATCAAGAATATCTAGCCATAAACGCTCCATAATAAACTTGGAGCCTCCTCGAAAAAAGAAGAAATGTGTGTGTGCTAAATAAAAGTATCTGTAGATAAGAGTCAAAAAATTTAATTCTAGCTCTTGAATATCCCTTAATATTTATCAAATCTATGTTATCAAAACACGATTTCAGTGGGTTTTAGACATATAGAATCTAACTCTCATAACTAAATATTAGTAAAATCAGGAACACTTAAAGTACTTACAGAACTTAAAAAGACCTGGAATTAATATGAGTATGGATGGAAAATGAAAAAATCACAACAAACAAGGGAAAAACAAAAATCATAATACTTAATCATAATTGATAATTTTTCCTGGAACAAACCACAATAGACCTTAAAAGTGTACTGAAATATCTAGGGTTACTTATGGATCAAAATCTCAATTTCAACAATCATTATGAATTGAAACAATAAGAATAAAATGCAATCATCATTTTATCAACTCATCATTTCTCATTCGAATTTAGATGCAGCTTTAACAACCAGTATATGAATATATTATGCATGTGTTGATATGGTTTCTTATGTATAACGTATAAAATTGCTCTTAAAAATCTCCAGGTACAATTTTTTTGTAAACTGCGTTGCGCCTCAAATCGGGCATTTGTTCAATCAATGAAATACACGTGTACAAATGTTGAAATGACGCTAAAGTAAAAAAAAATAGAACAAGAAAATTACCAAGTCAACCATTTAATTTCAAACCAAGAAATAGACAATTCATTTGATACCATTAGAAAAATAAAACCACTTATATCCAAAAAGAAATTAGCGGAAATCATAAAAACTAAAGTTTTTGCGGATACGTACCCTATCACTTTATATCGAAATGAAAATCATTACAGAAATTTTAATTAATTGATTGTACTTCATCAATAGTTTTGGTAATAAAGCATTGAGCTATTTAGCAAACAATTTTTTTGATCTGAAAGCGTACATGCAAAAAATATGTTTGTTTTTGTTTTAAATAACAAAAATCTTCAACAAGAAGTACAGTAGGATCTGACTACAATGGAAAATACAAAAAAAAACAGGTTTGCCTTCCTTTAAAATTATGTCAATTTTTGTCTATGGTGCATGTCATAACACTTCGGCCTCTTCGGTAGTTGAAGTAAATTCGGCATACTAGACAGCAGTTTTATCTAAACAAAATAGAAAAATAATTCTAAGACAGTTCAAATTTTTTGTAGATTTTTTAATGAAATTTTGAAAACAATTGAAATTTTCAAGAAGGCGCTAACAAAAGGTCGAAAACTACTTTTACAGGAATAAAGTTAGTTTTTCACATCTCATTCAAAACTTATCTCATGGTATACGCTTGTTCGCTCGCTTCTCTTGCCTGGAAGGAGTCTAAAAATCAAAAAACTGAAACCGTTATTTTTCAGCAGAAAGAAATTTTCAACTTTTTGATAAAAAGCACAAAAAAGGCCTTTGACATGATGCACCACTCAGCTCATTTCGATAAAATTGTCTGGAGACCAAGTTGCAGAGAAAAAAGAAGAACTTTTCAGCGGTCGGAAAAACAAGACGTATCTTGCAAGATCTTACAAAAATAAGATCCTGAATGATAAACATTGGATGTCAAAAGCTATTCCAAAAAGGTCAACAAATTGGCTAGATTTTTTGGCTACTTGAAAAATTTGTCAGTTTAATTTTTGCCGATTGTTTTGTTTGATTTTTTTTCTATTCATAAAATTTTATAGTTCATAGTTTTCACGTTTAACTTTGTTCGACCATATCAAATATGCGGACGAACTTTATATTCAGGTGTGTTTTAACTTAATTTAATTCGTTTTTGTTTGACGCAAAAACAGGTACCGCAAAATATCATCCAAATGGGTGAAGTGATATATCATATTAAAATCTTATTATTCGTGATTTGAACCTCATTCAAAATTTGAAATTACCAACCCTGTAGTTGTGAGCTATCAGAGTACTCTCAGGGGTTGCAAATCTTGCCTCCATATAGGAATTCTCAAATCATCGTTTTTTTCTAGGTGTGAAGATTTTTGTGATTTTTCAAAAAAAATTTCAGTAAACCTAAATTTATGTTTTTTGTCTTCAAAGTTTGAAATTCCCAACCCTGTAGTTGGGCGCAAGCATAGTACTTTCAGGGATTGCGAATCTTGCCTCCGAGTTTGACAGCTCAAATCTTTGTTGTGTTTAAGATTTGACGGTCTTATGGTTTTTCAAAAAATTTTAGAAAACTCCAGAAGTTGCAAATCTTGCGTCTAAATGCGATTGCTCAATTGTTTTACGTTTCCGAGACGTGACGTTTTTTCATGTCATTTTGAAATGTTTTTAAAAAACTAAGATTTAAAAACTTTATGATTTTCAAAATTTAAAAAAAGCTCGAATAAAAAACATTTTACAAAATTTGAAATAACCAAACCTGTAATCAGCTGGTGTCAGAGTACACTCAAAGGCAGATCGTATTTCCAGTATTTGCAGCTTTCTATAGTATTTTTTTGGAAATTCGAAGCACCGAAAATGCGTTACACCCTGGTCTGATAAAAAAAAATTCAAAAAAAATCAATCAGTGTCATAAGCGTTCAGAACATCTGAAGAAAACGTAACACTTCGCGGTGAATGGAATGCTTCACGGCCGCACGCCGAGATATACCATGGGGGTATACGATAAAATTTCCATATGCATTGTTTCTGTTTCAGGTGCAGTGGATCCAAAGAGATCCCCAGTAGTGGGAGAGTAAAAGAGTGGGACTATAGACCCCCTGAGTTCTCTTTCGCCCGCACCGACCACCGTCCGCTTCCCTCAGAGAGACCGAGTCCTCTCTCGCACCAAATACGGCAGAGATCTCTGCGATACTGTCACCTAAACTCGCCTATTGTAGGAGGCAGCCGAAACAACACCATCAGACAGTCTGGCCGTCCATCCAGTGCTTTAGTGGGGGGACATCCTAGAGGAGTGTCTCGTAAAAACGACGAAACAGATAATGTGCAGTTCAGTGTAGGGGGAGCACGATCCCCCTCCGATGCGCCATTCCGATCTTTTTCGAAATAAAACTAAACTTATTTTGAATATAAACTGATATGTTTTCTGAAATATCATTTGTGTTTTTAGAACGAGTTTTGTTATTAATTCGTGTTGTCTATTGCTTTTTCAAAAAGGGAGCGAAACAAGAAAAGTGACAAAGAATCCTTTTTAATGTGATTTTTTACTTATTATATAATCCTTTATAATGGATTTCAAATTAATTATAATGCATTTTAAAACGAAGCGAAACAAAGGAAAGTGAAAAAATCCTTTTTAATGTATTTTTCCACTTGTTATATAATCCATTATGATGGATTTTAAAAGAATTATAATGCATTAATTTTTTGCGGAAAAAATGGATTTAAATCAGTTTATAGTCCAATTTTGTTGTCTGAGCGTAAAATGGGAATAGATTATATTAGCATCTTTTCAGACCACGAAAATCCATTATAATCTATTTTTTTTCACTTTTCTTAAATGCGGGTAAGCTAATCAAGATATCTCATGCCTCCTATATCTCACCACGAGAGACTAAATATGACAATATTATCAAAATAGTTTGCTGATTATTTGTGGATGTAATTTCGGAAAGAAACTGAAAAAATTGAAGCAAACTCGAAGAAAGGATAGCCGTTTGCGGTGCAATTAGCACCGAATGTTCAGACTAAAAACTAAAATTGTGTCTAAAAACAAAAAACTAAAATTGTGTCGTCTTTTGTTTCGATTAAAAAAATCTAAACTAAATCTTGAAAAAATGATAGTAGAGAAGTTTGGGATATTTAGCAACAGTTTCTTACATAAAACAGATACAAAATTTTAAAACATCCAAAAATTTTCAAGAAATTTTTGATTTTTTTTTCTATTTTGCTGCAGATTTTTTTCTTCATTCCTATTTTTTATTCCAAAGATGAAACTAAAAAATTCTCGGTAACTAATTTCACTTAATTTTACCTGAATAAAATTAGTTTGAGAATTTGAAACAAACTATTATAAGCCTATTACAAGCCGGCTCCCTGGCGTTTTCCGCTCAAATTGAGACGAAAAATCAAAAATTTCGAATCGGCTTTTCTCGACACGTCTGGAAAAAACTCGAATCACGACTGGATGTATCACTCGACCCAATCGGATGATAAGTGCCTGAATTTGCGTGCTATCAACACACTAAATGAGGTAAATTAGTTGATACATCATATATCGGACCGGGCTGATTTACTTGAAAACAAAACAAGTAGAAAAAATAATTAAGCAGTGTCAGAGTTGGCGAACTTGTAAAATTGAGAACGAATATCATTTATAGCAAAATTATAATAAAACTACAAATGTTTTGAGGGCCAGTTGCAAAAACTCACAAAATTTGGAAAAATCATTTAAGACCGGCCTGTTTTAATAAATTTATCCATGTAAGAGATAACTGTTTTACTAGGTTATTTTATTCCGCTGAGAATTCAGCGGACTAAAGTCCATTTTTGGAAAATGGAAAGCATTCACCTTTTGTGACTTTTATATTTTTGCTGTTCAATAGCGGAGTTTGTTTTCCTTTCAACAAAGAAAATGGAAGGAATTTTAAAAGAAATCATGATTCAAACCAAGCAAATGTCAAACTTGAGCGAGAACAAGTTTCAAATGTCCTATAAAACAAAAAATTATTTATCGCAATTGACGAAATGAACAAATGAAAAACAGACGAAAAAAAAGAAAAGAAATGTCGGAAAATATTTTGAAAAAAATTTTCAAAAAAAATTCAGACTTTCAATGAGCTATTTTTTCATATATTAAATAATTAATGATCAGGGAATTGTTCTATGAGGCAGACGAGTCACTGCAAAACAGGCGAATCACTGCAAACAATTTACATCAAGTTCAACATTGAAGCGTTGATTTACCTACTTACGATTTAAAATTTTTGAAATCTTTATTGTCACATTTCGATTCTTTCAAAAAAAATGATAGTCATGCAATTCTCACAGAATGGAAATCGTATGATAATCAACTTTTTTCCAAAAAAAAAATAATTAAAAAATTTGATAATCAAAGTGATTTCAATTATTAAAAAACCAATTTCGGCTCTCTTGAACTTGTATAAATGCTTTTTTGAAAAGCGTTTGAACAAAAAATTTGTTCATCGAAAAAATGCTTATCATACCCTTTTCATAGAATAGAAATCGTATGATAAGCATTTTTTGTCAAAAAAAATTAAAAATGGGCCAACTTGATCTAACCTAATCAGAAAACGAATCAAGCTCATTTAAACTTACCAAAAAAAAATTTTCCTGAAAAAAAAATCAATGAAAAAAAGCTTATTATACAATTTTCGTAAATGGAAATTATATGATAAGCATTTTTCCCATAGAACCCATGCATGGAATTGTATGATACGCATTTTTTTGTATGAATTGTATGATAAGCATTTTTTTTTTGTATGGAGGTCAATCCGGGTTGTGTAAAGGAAAATCATTTCGTTCTCTTTTACCTTTAAAAAATTCCATGCTTTAACTTCCAAATTGATAAAAATTTATCCAATATATCAAATAATTCCTTTAAAAAATTCAATTTTCACGAGTAAAAAATACGGTCTGGTTGGCACCCCCTTAGAATATTTTTTTTCCAAAGGTGCGTATTCTGCCTCCAGACCACCTGAGAAAGTCTGAAAGATCTTGAGGTTCAATAATCAAGCAAGATTAATCTCTAACAGATTTGTAAACAACTAAGTTGTTTATCAAGTCTGGTTCCCGATAATAAGTACACTGCATTCTCGCCAGTCATTACGAGGCCAAATTATGCACTGGATAGGCAGGCACACAATTTAGTGTATGTAGGTCTCTGGAATGTAGAATACTCTTTAAACATGCTAAAATTTTGTCGGAACAATAAAATAAAGCGAAAGAAAGAAAGAAAAACAAAGAGAGCGTCCTTGTTGCGGAATTCGCTAACAATTCACAAAATACACACTTTGACCTCGTATTGGTGAAATGAAGTTTATAATTGATTATATTTATTTTTTTAGCAAAAGCGTATTTTTTACACTGATTCAAAGTTAACAGTAGCAGATAAAACGGTCGAAGTAGGAATGTATTGTAATGAAAACCAGCCGAGCGCACTGTGCATTCATATATTACAGTAGGGGATTTGGAGGGGGGGGGGGGGGGAGGGCGGCCTCCTGTAGGTATTCGACCCCCTTGCCAATGAAAGGTCCCTTATTCGAAATTGTTTTACGTCATCCATTTGGCTGACTGGCCCTACACTTATTGTAAGGACGTCAATTTATATAATGGCGCCAAAATTGCGCGGACAATTTTGTCAAACTAAGATCTTTGAAGTGATTTTGGAGACTTCGAAAAAATCCTAGATCCGCGTCTCATAAAATAATTGTGTTCCAATTATTTAGCAATTACAGGACCTTTTAAACTTATTCTTCCCTGTGCAACTAGTAAGGAAAAATCCCTATTTGCAACATGGGGAATTAAATCGAAATCCCATGCGATGTAAAATTTTAACACTAATTGCAAAGTGCCGGCTGGTTTTTATACTCTGCTCAGTTTCGGTTTTCTTTAAAGAAGACTTGTTTATTTACACTGGAAAATTATGATGTAACCCCTCATGAGCGAAGAACGAATGCGCGAAACTTTTTTCAACCAGCGAAAGCTGAGTTTTCAAAAATTCGAAAAAAGCGATAATTTTATTCTATTTTGGACAGTTTAAATGGCGCTGATTGGTTGAGAGTTTTGTGCATTTGGTCCTTCGCACATGAGAGTAGCCCCTTAAATTTACATTCGCAAACTTAATTTTCAGTATTTACATCTGCAACTCTATGACGAATCTCATTCGTACTTGGCTCTCTTTGTACACTAAGTACTCGCTCTGAGAGAAGCTGCTGCTTATCGGCCTCCGAACCGGCTTACCACAAGGAACTATTACCTCGTGTTTTCCCAACTTCACCTTCTTTTCCTTAGTCTCGTCCGGTTCAAATTGACCTTTCGCTAACACACTGTCGTAACCATTTGGCGCCGCCACCAAAGAACCGTTATTTTCAAAAATCTCTTTCGGTTTTCCGAGCGCAACTTCGCTCAGAAACATGATTCCAGTGCCGTCACTCGTTCTCCCGGTGTAAAAATAGGACTTGCCGTTTTCGGAGGCAAAGTAAATTCCGCGGCCCACTCGACCACCCGAATGGGGCATGATCCGAAGACCCGACTTGAGAATTGCGGCGACGACTGCCGGCGACGTCCCGTGCCAGAGTAACTTTCGATACTTCAGATCTTTGTGGGCGTCGAATCGCTCGTCCTCGCCCTCTCGATGCATCTCATAGATGTTCTTGATCTTAGGGCTAGTGAAGGAAGGTTTCGTATTTTGGAAGAACTCCTCGATGATTTTGTAGTTGGCGTCACTTGGTTTCAGCGTCTTCAGCTTGCATTTGAGGGACTCGTATTTTATGTCTAATGGGTGCAGTTCTGACTTAACTTCTTGCTGTTCTTGGGCTTTTTTCATTTCTTGGGCTTCTTGAATGTCACCTACAAATGAGAACAAAAATAGCTGGTTACTATGCAAGTTGCACAGAATGTTCCAGCCACGTTCGCTTTTCAGTTTAAAAAAAATTTTAAAAAATTTAAAACTTTTTGGTATTTTTTGTCAGAAAGAGAGGGATATGTCAAACTAGGCTCCCCGTAACTCCTATCCCGCCTGCGAGCACTTTCGTAGTTTTACATAAAATTCCGTGAAAAGCCAAAAACTCCTTTTTTCTTGTTTCAATAAGAAAGAGCGGGCGATAAAAGACATCTGCTCCATAAACTAGTTTCCGATAAATCCTGTACCGTAGTGATTATTACTAGGTTATGTTGAGGTTTTGTTATAATGTAAAAAATGCACTTGTCAATTTTCAGGTCAGAAGCATCAAAAAGGCAGAATTAGTTATTAATTTATAACGACCAGATAGAGAAAATTGATAACTCACCGAGGACTAGAAGCATATCCAGTTTTTCTCTAAGGGCGTCTCTGGATCCGATTGTCGGGGGTACATTCCTCCCGAAGTAGTGGGGGATAACGGTGTAGAATTTACTGCTCAAATCCTGCAACGTAGTCGAGGGCTTGTTCGCTTTCAATGCTAAGTCGATCTCATCTGCAAATTAGGATAAAACTCCTCTTTAAAAACAAAATTAATTTTCAAAGTTACTGTGCAGTAGCTATTCAATGTCGTAACGGTGTGAGTGGCGAAAAAAATTCTCAAAAATCTAAATGGAAAATTATTACAGCAAACAGAAAACGAAATGCCACCGAAACCGGAAGCTATGATTTAAAAAACGCCCATACTGATCGAACTCCGAGCAAAAAAAAACTTTTTTCAAACTACTTCGCTTAATTCTTATTTTATTTCCAGATTTTAGCAGACTTTGAATAGCTGCTATTTTACCTATTACCAAAAAAAAAATTACTGTCACACGATAAAACCATTGGAGTGTTCTGTTGTACAATTGCTTTGCTATGCTATAAAGTTAATAAAGTTATTTGTTATGCAATTGATCATTGATCTATTATGCAACTGCTCACCTAGCACAGCGAATCCCTTGGCAATCTGGGGTTTGCTGAGTTTCCCAAGGGGCATACGGTTCACATTCAGCTGCAGTTTAGTCATCTGCTGTTTGAACATGTCATTGTCGAAGATCATCTGCACCAGGCTCTGAAGTGGTTTGTCCAGCGAACACTGGCGCGTCAGCTGAACCCGAAAACCAGATACAATTTAAACACGCATTAAATTTTTGAAAGTTCACAATGTTGTGAGGTTTTAAAATGCAATTGATTAGTTAGCTCTGAAACAGAGCGTCCTTAAACCAAAAACTTCAAAAAAAAGTATCACGAAATAATTCTGAAGATCAAAAATGCAGTTCAATATTTCGGGAATCATCAAAATAAAAAATCTAAAAATTTGTCACACTGTTAGGGACAATGTTCAAAATACGTTTTTAATTTTTAAAATCTTAAGCGTCTCAATTGATACGGCAAAACGATTACCTTTGGTTTGGAGCTTCCCGCCTTCGGCTTTTCTTCATTTTCGACCTCCGTCTGTTGGACTTCGTCCTCTTCTTCCTCGTCGCCCATCTCAATCAGAGTGTACTTGCCACTCTGGGGCTGGAAGTTGTCCTTGTTGGCCCACTTGTTCTTAGTTTTGTCCTGGAACTTCTTCTCAAAGTTGCTCTTCGCTGAGTCCACGTCTCCGAAGGGACCCTGCATCGAATTCATTCCTTGCTCCCCCACTCGGCCCCATCTGAAAATTAAGCAAACTTAGAGGACCCTTTTTTCTAGTAACTAGCCTTGTTAACAATTAAGTAAGAAAAAACAACTCGTTTGTACTCATATAAGCACTTTTTATACATCTTCATGTAATTGTTTTAGGTTCGAAAGTGGAAATTTATGAAGATTGCAGAAACTGAACTATTTTTAAAAGTGTCAGAGATCGTAGCTTCATCGTTGAAATGAGAGGAAGTAATTTAGGAGTTTAAGAATATACCTGTTGAACACAAAGAACTCTTTAGCACCCACAGTTCTCTCAAGCAGTTGGATCACGTAGAATTTGTTGTTGTTGTGGCCTATATTTGTCTGATTCAACATGCAGTCATAGTCCTCGTAGACTTGGACGTTCTGTTCCGTGACATACTTGTCACTTTTTCGGTTACTCCTCTTACTCGAGCCCTTACTGAGGGCTTTTGCAGCCGCTTTTATATCCGCTTTCACGCTGTCTTTTTTAGCTAACTTGGCGGGCTTGGAAGCCGCTTTTTTGACCGGTAATTTTCGTTTGGGAGGCATCACCTAAACATTTTTGCGAAGCTAGAAACATCACCAGAAGAATTTATTCAAACATTTCGAATCTAATTCGCATTTTCACAATCGATATATTTGCCAACAATTATTTTACTTTACAGGAAAAAAATGTTGCGCATCCAGAAAAATTAAAAACAAAAACATTTTAAAAGTTCTGAACAAACACCAAACAAAATTGTAACGATGATAATGTTTTTGCTCGAAGATCAAGATTCGCAAAAATTGCATCAAAAATTGCAAAAAACCAATAAATGAAAAATTGCCAAAAGCTCGCCAAAACTTTACTAAAAGTTTCTATTGTAAATTTTAGGAAAAAAATTCAAGCCGCGCAAGACAATAAGGTCCGAGATATTTCAAAATGAACTCATAGTTCCATGTATTTGCTGATAGATTCCGGATCGAAAATGTAAAAACTTTTGTTCCTCATTTAAGGGGCTGAATGTCTGTCATTTCAATGTTTTGCTATGCAATTCAATTGAGTCAGGCAAATAATCTTCTTGAACCCCTTTATTTTAACACAAGGAAAGACATGCTTGAATAACCACATTTACTTATTTGGTTACATTACATTTTTAAAAAAATCGATATCAATCAACAAACACAGAAAAGAACATGTGCGATACAACGAAAACAAAAGAAAAATTAAAAGTCGATTACCGTGCGGCAATTAAGGCAAAAATATTGGGCCGATAACGATTGTTGTAAAAAAAATTGACTTAGAAAATTTTAAAAGTTTTTGCGAATTATCAATACTGAAACAAATCAAAGCATAACAAAAATTTGCTTAAAAATTGCGCTAAATGATTAGACTAAGGCGATACAACAAAAAAAGAATTCTCCAATTGAAAAAAAATGATTCAAGTTATTCATAGGCAGATTTAGAGATTAAACAAACTATAGAATCTTCAGTTATAGCAAAAAATGTAAATGTATCATATGTAAAAGTCAAAATGAAATCTATGCCTTAGAAAGCAAGCGACAAAAAAACGTAGGATGACATAAAATGATTAAAAAACAACGAAAAAGAATAAAATTGGTGGGAAATTACGTAGCAGCTCAGCCCAATTAATAACATTTACCTAATTTCATACAACACAACATAAAGTTGAAACAAATTTTTTAGTCTTTTGAATCCGACCGGATGAATATTTTCTAATCAACTCGTAGATATATCAGCTGAAAAAAGAATCTTTGAAAGAAAGTTATCATTTCAGAGAAGAGCAAAAAGCACGTCTGAGAACAGCCATTTTTGAAAGGGGTGAATCATGTTTTGGATTTTGGAACAGAAAAATTTGACTTCATTCCACATTTTTGTGATTAACTGTTCGATTTTGAAAACAACAGCAAAAATTTGTGGATAATCACTTAGAGCTTACAAGAATGGGGAAAATCATCTCTAAAACAGAACAAAGAATGGAGAATGTTTAATGAACGAGTTCACGCCTTTGAAAAGTCGTTGACACTTTGCAGCCGCGAAGCTAGAACTAACGATGTACAATGACTGATTTGTTTGAAAGTATTTGAAATAGAATCAACTAATTGTTAAACTAAGCGATATTTTTAATTGGGACTGCTTATTGTGATTTTTTTAATCAAGATTGCAATATTTGGAAAAACGAATTCAATTTGTGAAAACGCTACTATTGTTTTTGAATTTTTGTACAAATGCGACAGATTTGTTATTTTGGTAAAATTGGGATTTATTTTCTTCTGATACAAACGCAACTGTTTTTGCGTTTTGGTTCCGGATCAAGTTAACACCCCCCACCCCGAAGTGCAATCCTCCACCCCAGCGTTCAGTTTAACCTAATTTGCTAACCGCTGCATGCCAAAGGCTGTATTCTGATTGGCTGAAAATTCGAAGTCAGTCAGAACCAAACTAACAACCTCCTCCTGAACGGCTTTGGGGGAGGGGGGAGGAGGAAGAAGATGTTAACTTGGTCCTTGGGTCCTCTGGTTACCCACCGTGTCTTTTGCATTTCCACCAAAACAAAAAATCATTTCCAGTTGCAGCAAAATAAAAAATCAGTCCAATTTGTACCAAAAAAAAATGATCATACTTAAAAAAACTAAAAAGCAGTTGCGTTTTATTGTTCCGACTTTTAGATAAAACGGAATAGTTATGCTTTTGTGATTTTTTTTACGAAAAAAAGTTTTCGACAAAAAATTTTTATACCCATTTGGAGGTACTGACTTTAAGAGTTCAAATGTAAAAAGATTTTTTACCTCCGATTATTTTTCGTAAAGTTCTGGAGGTTTGAAAATTACCAAATTTGTCATGTTCTGGACTAAATTATGCGCGCTTTGAAGAATTTTTTCATATTTTTGAGAGCGTGACGCGAATTATTTATGCGTGCCGCACGCATAAATCCGACTCAAAATTTTACAATTTTGATCTTACGACTCAAAATTCTACCCTTTAATTTGTCCAAACTTTACAGGTTTTCAATATTTATTTTTCTCAAAAACTATTCAATGTGAATTAAGGGGACAGTCGGAACATTCAGGGCTTTGCCCTGTTATACGAGCAGTCTTGTCAAAGTTAATTATCAGTCAAAAATTTTATACCGACTTGAAATGAAAATTGAAAAAATCAGTACCAAATAAAGTTATCACATATAATTATACGAACAACACTGCTCGTATATCAGGGCAAAGCGCTAAATGTTCCGTCTGTCCCTAAATTCATATCGAATAGTTTTTGGGAAAAATATTGAAAACCTATAAGTTTTGGAGAAAATCAAAGTGTAAAATTTTGAGTCGTACGAAAATAATACGCGCAATCTGATTAGCTAGCCTCAATTCTATTTGGAACGGTTTTGTTGTGCGGGATGATTTGCCACGCATAAATAATTCGCGTTACGCTCTCAGCAATATGAATAGATTCTTCAAAGCGAGCATAATTAAGTCCAGAACATGGCCGATTTGGCAATTTTCAGACCCTCAGATTTTTACAAAAAATGATTGAAGGTAAAATATCTTTTCAAATTTGAACTCAGAAGGTCAATATCTTCAATGGGTATAAAAAACTTTTGATGAAAATTATTTTTTTGATCGGCGAAAATTGGCTGAATAAGAAAAACCACACCGAGCATAAATGTTCCGTTTTCTTCGAAAGTCAGAACAATAATTGATTAATATAAATTTTTTTAATAGTTGACCCATTTTAATGCTTGATTTTTCTCGGTTGCAGTCATTTTTAAGACCCTGTATCAGTATACTGAAAATCTCACCTGGACTAAAAGCGATGAAGACTCAATGAAGTCTGAACTGAATAAAATAACTGAAGTTCTGTATCATATGTTTCAGAACAAGCTACAGCGTGACCATTTGACAGTGTTTAATTTATAGTGTGCTTGTGCTAAAACAAGAAGGCACGTCGACCACGGCAAATACTTGTTTGCAAATATATTCAACTGTATGCATTTGGTTTGCAATGCATTCATAAAATAACGTTGAAACATTTAGTGAAGTAAGTCTCATATATGGTACATGTATTGGTGGTATGGAATTCCCGTTGTGCTCAACCATTTTTGATGGAAGGTAAAAATTTCTTTCTTTTGGTCGAATAGAGCAGGAATTATTGATACCGTCTCCTGTGAGCAGACCAGTCTCTTAAGCCGATAAAGCGAACGAGCGAAACAAAGTGTGAAATTTGGCCTAAAATTTTTAGTTAAATACGATTAGAATTTTTATCTTTCTTTTCCAGAGAAGCGTCCACTCTTAAAGTAGAGAAAACAAAAACCAAAAAAGTTTTAAAAAAATTCCGAAACTATATTTTTATTTATGGTTGTCTTTTTAGCCTGTTTTGAACAAAATAGTGAATTTTTTTTCGAGCATGTTAATTCATAAGGGCAGTTCTATCATCTGTGCCCGTTTTCCGTATTGTCCTCCTCGACGGGAAAAATAAATTACGAGTCTTATTTGGTCCTACTTTTAGTTTAGTAAGGAGCAGCACTAGACGTCTGTCTCAGTGCTCAGATATTATCCTTTTCTTTGTTCAAGGAAAAAATTAGGTACATACTTCCCTGCATGGAAAAAAGGGCAAAGTGCATAGTTGAACCTATAGTGCATATTCCCAGAACAATTGGCTTGAAGTAGAAAAAAATATGATCAGGGTTGTTTTTTCTTGCTTCGAAGACACCTCAACTCATAAAAAGTTTGTAGGAAAACCATTTTATTTGTTAATCCGATACCGAAAACTATTTTCCAAGTTTATATTAGTACCGACAAAAAAAAACAAGTCAAAAATTTTTGCGATTTCGAATTCGTTTTCAATTTAACGCTGGCGAAAGAGGGCTCTCAATTCCTCTCAGCAGAGTTATTGTCCTCGTTCACATCATTTTTGTAGATGAGACTAACTGGGCAATGAAATTAATTTTGCTAAATGCGACTTAGAAATATGGTATATTTTCTGTCCCAATTGACTTGCTCTGAAACATTGCTATCTTGAATTTCAAACCCTATCAGCAAAGCTCTATTAACATAAAATTAAAAAATCTGAAACTCTAAATTTCATAATTGCACATAATATAGTAGTAAGATTTTGCAATTGCAACTAATTTTTCAAGTCTCACATCATTGACAATCATTATCTACTAAAAGTTGTCCTTAACAGGCGCAGATCTAGAATTTTCTCGAGAATATATAATTTCAAATTAAGCTACAAGAACGGAGTGGGGTGTTTGAAAAATTTTTCCATGTTTTTATCGAGTTTTTTTCAGGTGGACCAAATTAATTTCTAGAGCTCTCCAAAAAAACTTTATAGAAGACTTATTTTGCCGAATTAGTCGTTTTAATTGTAAGTTCTCGATGCGCGGTAACAACTAAAATTAGTGCTTATTGGAGTTAAGGTTAAGAGGTTTCCTGATGCCACAAAAATGGATGCCAGAAAATAGTACCAAAAGGGGGCCCTTTGGGTGGTTAGGGGGTCAAATCCTTGAGAAGGCGATAAATCCGCTACGGTCATTATTTTTTAGAGGAGAAAAATGCATTAGAAGTTTATTCAAATTGTGGCAATTAGTCGTTCTCAAACATCGAAAATAATTTCCAAGTGAACCTGTTTTCATTTCGAAGAGTTTATGTACTCCAAAATTTGGAGAAATACTTTTGGTTTGGAGGTCATGACTTTGACTCATTGCCAAGTCATGACGCTTTTTTGATGCATAGGATTTTTTGTAACTAAAATATTTCATAGGTGTGCAAAAGTTAAAAAGCTCGGTCGGTTGCGAAAAAAATCTTTAATCAGTTAAAGCGAATGTATCTATTTAAAACATATGCCAGATTTCAAGGAAACTTGTGAATATGTCAATTCTTTCGCACCTATACTTAAAAAGAATTCGGCAAAAATTGTGGCACTTTGTTTTGATGAAGTATGTATTACTAAGGTGCTAAAAATAATTGTTAACGAATAACGAAGGTGGAAAACTCTTAACAACAAACATATCATCAGCCTTGTTCATCATCGGCGACAAATCACTTTCCAAATTTGATCGCGCAATCAACAACCAAAAATTTTTGGTGTAATCAACAATTACCTGATTGAAATTAATTCTAATTCTAGTCTGAAAACTCTCATTGTTCACCTTAAATACCGATACATTGTCTAATTTGACCTCCATTTTGAAACGTCCTATTTTGGTATTCATAACTTATAACCTAGATCAAACTCAGTTGAAATGTTCCGAAGAGTCATTTTGTCCAGTTTCCAATCAATCAGCAGTACTTCATCAATGGCACTTTCAGAACAATTTCCAGTATGTTTCATTTTTTTACCATTCGACAAAGATTTTGAAATTGGTAATGATAAAAGTACTCGTTTAATCTAGAAAATATAGATACATCTGTAAAAAAAAAATTGAATCATAAAAATTTAGGAGGGGGAAGCGGCTACATTTGCTTAATTGCGTTTTATTTCCGTTAATAAAAAAATAGCGTTGGCTAGTACTGGTACCAGTTAGCATGCGCTTTTTGAATTAAAAAACTTGAATTCAAAATTACAGACCTTTTTGAATTCAAAATTAAAGACCTGTCACCTTTGTTATATTTTAGGACTCGGATTACAGTTCTGACGTTCTGGCCTGGTCCCTTTCGAATGTGATTTCGGACGACGAGTCGGGCTATGACTCAAACAGCTACGATCTCGACAGAGCTACCACAGGAGGCGAGGACAACTTTGAGGGTGATACTGACGAGGTCTTCCAGACATCTGTCCAAACTTCCGCCCATTTTCAAGCCAGCTTTGAAGTTATTTATGACTCTCCTCCTCCGTTTAATGCTCTGGACAGATTTGTCCAGTCTAAGCGAAATCCTGGATACACTATCAAGAAGTCTGAAGACGCCAAAACTTCGTTGGTTCTCGAGACTAAGACGGAATCGGGAGAGGTGAAGCGTCGAGCTCTTCTCAACCCAGACCGATTCAAGACACAGATGTGCAAAGCTTACTTGCGCGGATCTTGTTTGTTTGCCGATCAGTGTCAGTTTGCTCATGGTGAGAGCGACCTGCGAGCCCCCAAAGTGCACCAAAAGTACAAAACTCAGAAGTGCAAACACTTCGCAGCTGGCAAATGCAAGCACGGCAACGCCTGCTGGTTCATCCACGAGAACGATGTGAAGGAAAAACAGCTCACTGATGTGATGAAAATTCTCTCTAAGAAATCGGAGAAGGAAATCGAGCAATGGGCATCAAATACCGAATAGAGACCTGTGTACTTAAATAAATACAGAAGTTCAGTGCTCGACAGCGTCTGCCGATTTCTTAAACTATTTAAATAATTTTCGCAGCAAATTTGATAAAATATTACTCATGATTTCTGTTCATAGTGTTTATTGACTTGCGCTGTAAAGCGCATTATTGCATAGTTTCAACTTCTCAATTTACAATTTTTCTCAGTAATTTCTAAGAGCCAATTTAAATGACGCGGGATCTTCGGTTCCATTGATGGTGTGATTTTTGAAAGATTTTGCTAGCCACTGTAGGTTAACCACTCGGAGATTAAAAATCCGTCAAACCCTACGCAATGACTATAATTTAAGTTTGCAAAGCCATTTAACAGGAATACTTTCTGCAAGATTAGATAACTCATCTGTTTTCTTTTGGTGTTCCGCCCTCAAATTTATAGGTTAGAACGTTCTCTATCTCAAAAATTTGCCTCTGGTGCAAAAATTACGTCGAACTCAAAAATTACGTCGAAAAAAAACGAAAACCACGCTACGAATTTGGGAGAACAAGTTCATATCCAAGAATTTATTACAAATAGTATATTTGTACTTTATAATTTATGAGTAAATACAACAAGGAGAATGTAGTACATTGATGTGCAACAATGAGAAATATTAAAACGATTAGGTATAACTAATAGATATTATTTTAGAAAAGTCTAAAGTTAAGACTGCACGGAGGGAAACGTTGGAGGTTTAAAATTTGGCTTCAAATTTACAAAAATGAAAAAATTAAATTTTTCTAATGATCAAATCGACAAAACCCTGTTCAGACCACTGATTGGGTAAACTATTAATATTAAGTTCACATAAACATAACTAAATTAGTCCATGCTAAATGAGTGCAATTTTGAAGTTATTAATCAAACTGTTGAAGATAATCAACAATATACCAGGTCAGCGATAAGGAGAAATATTAACCAAGGGATAACAAGAGAGAAGACAATTATTGTAGATAACGTGAGCCAATGATTTTGATTTTTTGTAGCAATGCAAGCTCAGAATTATATTAGCCTCAACCGAACTAAGGTAACCAGTGTTAATAAATTTAAAAAAAAATTTTTTTTATGTATATGGCACAATGGTATGATTTAATCACTGTTTCATATTTGTATCAAAAGCATATAATTCAACTACTAGCTGTAAAAACTTCAGTCGGCGTAAATATTTGCTTTAATTCCACGATAATGATTCAATTACTTTTGAAACTGTTATCAAACATTTTTCAACAACAAAACTTCACTGGATAACTTAATAATTAAATTCAGGCAACCGAAAAAATAACTTGAGCATAAATCTCTCCAAAAGATTGCTCCATACTATGATGCGCTATTTTCTTCTACCAAATAGACACAAAAATGACCCCTCAAAGGATCACTATACTTCTACGCATCACAATCGCGTTCTTTCATAAATTGTGCATCGGAGATCTGATTTGCTTTCAAAGCTGCATAGTTGAGTTCTGAGCATTATGGCGTTTGTTGTTAGAAGAAAACTAGAAGTTGTTCACGGAGGAGCGTGCAATGGCGTCTTGAACTGCGGCAGCATTGGCGGCCGAGGCAGCTGCCGCTGCTGCACTGTGATGGGCATGCGCAGATGCTCCCCAGCTGGCCAAGGCAGAGTCGTCAAAGAGGGAGCTAATCGAGGCACCACCTCCTGTCGACGAGGAACTGACCTGGCAACAATATTAACTACACTTACAACATTAACAAAGTCTTTGCCAAGATATAATCTCCTATCACAAACACAGACAACTGACAGTTGAAAAGTGTCAATGAATGCGAAAGAACAAAAAAAGATAGTAGTTAACAAATTCTGTTGAAGTTTTAGTTTCAAGGAATACTTATATATCCCGTCCTGCTTTTGTTTCCCACCCCCTCGTAAAATTACAAAATAAAGCTGTTCAAAAATTGTTCACATGGCATTTTGCATGTCAGAAATGTTGAAAAAAATTGTTCACTTTTTCACGTCGACACGTTTTAATGCAATTTATTACATGAAATGTCCTTTTAAACAGACCTTCATATTTTGAATTTCAGAAAAATTCGAAGGTGGGGAACTAGAAAAGAGCCTCCTCTCATCGTAACCAGTTGCTGTGCAAGGAGCACAGACCGTCTCCACCACAAAAATCATTTTAAAAATGGTATCCTATATAAACGGTTCTTCGTTAACCTGAAAACGATTCTTAACGGCCTTTACTTTTTCGCTGCACGATAGTTTACTCAGAAACGAAGCTGCGCTTCGCAAACATTAGCCAGATCATGACAAAAAGCAGCTAGATAAAGTGCAATAAAAAGTACAAATAAGGACCGAATAGTAAAACTTTGCTACGTATCAGATTCGAACCTACGACCTCGAGATTTGAATCCCCTCGGCCACCGAAAACTAACTATCTGCAAAAATAGCCACAAACAAAGTAGCTACATATGCTTAAAATTGATAATGAGATGCAGCAGAAGTAGAATCGAAAACGAATAGACACTATTTTGCATGTAAAACTTTGGAATATAACAAACTGAAGACCTCCACACTAAAAATGCATGCAATAAATTGGAAAGCATGAAGCAAAATTATGTATAAATTATGCATTTCAAAAAACGACGAGATTTTCAAGTTTCTATTGTACTGTTGTTTGAAACAAATGGCTTGTTTCGCTTCAATTGATGAACTAAAAACGCATCAACTAAGTTAACTCATTACTAATCGAATATCAAAGAGCCGTAAAAAGCCTATCAAAAAGCCGTAAATATGCCACCATTATTTGCTACTTAGATTGAAATAAAAAAGAATAAACGTGCTATTACACTACGCTCGCAAAAATCCGCTAGTGTGAACAAAGGATTTGAACTTTGTAAAAATCGGAAATCAAAACGCGAAAAAATCAAATTTGATCATGATCTATCCTAAATTTGAGAATATCCTAAAAAACTTATAAATTAAGAACTTCGTTCTTTAACACTTAGAACCAAGTTAATCGGCACATCATTTCAAGGGAGACATAAGGGAGAAAACATAATCCTTTAAAACAGAGACGAAGCGGAACTAAGCACTCATTGGGAAAAATAATCGGCACCTAGCCGAAAACGACTCAGTCAAAAATTTCGACACAAGGATTTTCGTCCTACGTATTAAGAACTTATTGTGAAGCAAAATTAACACTGCGATGGAGCGAGAAAACTAGTGGGAACATGAAAAAAATAGCTCTATAAAGTGAAATAAGAAAAAAAATAACAATAAGTCTTGAAAAAAATCTTTTGCTGCGGCGGATTCCATCCTACGACCAGGAAAAATAGAAGTTATACAAAATTGGTATTGATAAATTTCTAACTACCATAAAAAAGACATTAAGTCGAAGCTGCACTTCACAAACAAGCCAAAAATTGCATGGAAGAAACTTTAAAAGGGCCAAAAAAAGGATTAATAATGAGTTTTGAAAAATTAAGTGACCTTGACAGGGTTCGATTCTCAGTCCTCGGACACCCAAGTACTAAAATTGACTTATATACAAACCTATGCCACTGGAGCTTATAGAAGTTAAAAACTAGCCGCTAATAAATTGGAGAATATATGAAATTCATTTAAGTTTGAAAAAATAGAGTTTGTACACAGATAACGCTACAGGGAAAGACCGAATGAGTAAAACTTTGAGTCTACAAAAATTCTTCAGTGACGCACGCCAATTATGAGTCTACATAATTGCTAAGTGACGCAAGCCAATTATGACGCATTAGCAGTACCAGTAAATTTGAAAAGAAATTTACCAACTAACATGTCTCAATTTATAGAGCGGACACGTTTTAACTAGTATACGAAAAAGTTCATTGAAAACATCCGACCCTGCCCAGGTTCGAACCATCTAATTTTGTTGCTGGTCTCCTTCCCTACCTCTACGCTACAGATCCATGACACCTTGAAGCTAAAGCGCTATTTGTAATAAAATACTCTGTTTTAATATCCTTAGCATTGGCTGTACTTAATAGCTGGATCAAAATGAACTCTTTGTCGCAACAATTGCATTGCAACATTATTTGCGACTTAGGTTAGAAAAAAAAGAACGTTCATAGTATAACACAAGCTATGCTTGTGTAAATATGACGACAGATGACATAAACAGAACAGTGATGTAGAGATGATCACTTCTCAGAAATGATTTTGTTAAACTAGTTGTTAGCCCAAAAAAGCATATTCCGATTTTATAACGCTTGCTAATCACAAGTGTGAAAACAGAATAGAATTGTAACTCAAACACAGAGGCAAAACACTAGCGAGAACACGACAAATAGCAGCTCTATAAAGTGCAATACGAAAAGGTAGAAATAAGTCTCGAATTACTAAAAATTCGAAAACGTCTCGGGTTTATCTGCTAACTAGATATTATCAGTCTCAACACTAACCACTCAGTCAAGGATGCTTAAAACATCACAAACACTAGCCAAAAATAAAGCAGAGAACAGATGCAATGAAATTTTCAATGCTACAGATCGTGATTATAACAAAAGTGCCACTAAATAAGTGAACATTTTTAATGAATTTGCGAGTAAGCTTAGAAAAAAAAGAAGGTTCGTACTAATGCACTTCGCTCGCAAGGTAGCTAGTGTATTCAAGGAAACAAAAGTTTATAAAACACAAAATTGCTGTCCGAAAAATCTTAACAACTTTTTTTAAAAAAGAGCATGAAAAGTCAATTTTACGGAGCAAAAACTTAAGCGAGAAAAAGTTGAGTTTTTAAAAAAATTAACGAAAACAATTCTAATCAAATAACTAAAATCCTCAGAAATCTCTCCCCGTAAAAATTTATCAGAGTAACAAAAGGGCTAGGAATGCTACTTACACCCATAGAACTCTCCGACGAGTGAGGATATTGGAACAGAGGGTGTCCGTCCGACTGTTGCTGCTGCTGAGCCATGGCTGCTGCAGCAGCTGCATTCTCTTCGCTTCCCACGGGCGTCAGCTGACCACTGGAGAACTGGTCCGCATCGGAATAGCCACTGGCACCACCTGTCGGGCCTCCAGCCGAACTCGATGCACCTCCACTTGGGGGCCCATTGATAGAAGCCGAGGAACCACTGCTCGGCATGGCTCCAGGAGTGCTACCAGGAGGTACCAAAATGTCTTGTGGGTTGTAGCTACCCGGGTTGTCTAAAACGTATACTTGTAACATAGTAAACGAATCTCTACAGTTTAAAGAACATCTAAGAGGGCCTCTTACCGATATTCTTCTTGTATCTGATTCTTTTGTTCCCGAACCAATTAGATATCTGAAAACAAACATCGTGATGACAAAATGTAGCTTAGTCAAAAGACTTGTCTAGACGTTAGTTTATATAATAAGATGATCTCACCTGTGATACTGAGAGTCCACACTTTTTGGCCAGTTCCTCTTTTACCTCCTCGGAGGGATAGGGATTGTTGAGATGGGAGTAGAAGTACTCGTTCAAGATCTCACTCGCCTGCTTGCTGAAGTTCCTCCTCTTCCGTCTGAAAACACATGACAGAACCTATGAAATGACTGAAACCCCATGACAGCAAAACACATCTTTTTCACTCATCGCACGATAACCATAGAAGCCAATTTCGATCAATTGTTCCGCTAAAGTGTTCAAAAAACTGTAGTTTATGCGCTCTCTGTGCTATGCTTGATATCAAACAAACACGTTGTCCCACTCAAAAACATAAATGATTTCAAAAAATTTCTGATCTACTCTTTTTCGACGGTAAAATAAAACTTGAAGCCTCTGCTTGTATTGGTTGTGAAGACGTAAGATAGCTTTTAAAAGAAAACTGCTCGACCTTGCATCTAGGAAGCGGGATCGAAGGATCATGACAGCTTCGCAGGTGCTCTGTTTCAGCTGCATCTGGATGGCATTGAACTTCTTCTGGATGATGGCCACCATCCGGTCGATCTCTTTGGGCGAGATGGGTCTGGTGCGACTCTGTTCCCGCAACAGGTTCATAACGTGTGAGGTGAACTCGTTACATGCAATGTGGTACTTCCGCATCTCCGTATGGTAAATCTCTCGAATTTGCCCCAGCTTCGCCTGAGCAGAACACCCGAAAGAAAATAAACAGAAGGTTGGAAAAATGTCAACGAGCACAAAAAAACCGCAACAAAAAAATTTCAAATATTTTCAACTGCCGTATTTCGAAAAAAATTGCACCGTGCTAAAGTATTACATTTTTCAAGAATCTTGTATAATAATAATCATAATACATTCGTTTTCAAGAAGGGATAGACTCGACTATTATTTACACAACTCACAACAACAAATATCCCATATTAGGCTCGGCACTTTCTGCGTAAAACTAGCCCAATTAGAGAAAACTGGGTCACAGATAGTTTCCTGGGAAATCGAAATATTAAAGCCCACTTTCGAAACAAAAAATCAGTCACGTTTTTTTGCTCCCTTTATACTTTCGTAGGCAAGTTACGTTTGGAAAACTTAACTTGCCTTCCATATAGCAAATGAATTTGGTTGAACTGATAAAAAATTTGCAGCGTGATCAATATTTAAGACAAGGGGGTTCAAATTATCAGGGGGTCCTTGAACCCCCTCTCCTTAGTTTGGTTGGAGGCGACGATATTAATGTGCGGGAAGAGAGGATGGGTAGAACGAAAAAGAAAATGTGTTGAAGGGCATACCGACAATTATGAAGTTAATGCTTTGAAACTATTTAGAATTGTATTCAACCGAGCATCTACCTTGTAGTCGGAGTGTTCTATAGTGTTATCTGGTTGTCCTGCTCCCCCGGTTGTAGAGCTGCCAGTGGGTGATTTACCATCCCCTGAAACTCCCTCGGCCGCCAACATGTTATCCAGACGCACTATTTGCGGGTCCGGTGCGTCATCATCATTCTGATTACGCATGTTGAGAACTAAACGAGAAATATGCTCTTTTGAATTTCAGATGTCTGAAGTTCATCATTCAGACTTGAGATATATTGGAAAGATGGTTTGGCAGCAGGAGATGACTTGCTGTATTAGTTTTTAATTTTTGATACCACGGGGGGCTAGATACGGAGTAGCTCCTCTTAGTAACACTCTTAAGATCTTTTTAAGCATATGATCTACATCAACAATCACTTGACACTAAGCAAATCTCGGAGACTCTAAATTTCTTTTGAAGTCAAAATTATACATACTAAGGCCTCTGAACATGCAAAAAAACAATAACTATAGAACAGAAACTGGAACTAGTAAGTAGGGATAAAGTGCATGAAAAAGACGATGAGAACAATCTCCATATCAAAATGGTGAAGATTCTTACAGGTTCCCGTTTTTTCTTTGATCTCACAGAGGACACTGAAGAGCGCAGGGCGCATCCTATGGATATTCAACGTCTGCTTCCTGAAACACAATATTCATTATTTTTTCACGCGAGGTTTTTTTTGATAAAGGTTTGTGATAAAGATTTTTCAGAGTGATAAAGGTACAATACACAGGCCAAAAAATCTGTTTTTCCATTGTATGATGATTTAAAAAGTTCGCATTTCACATGGACTTTCGATACGAACCTTGCCTGTGCAGCGTCAAGAGACTGTTCGGTTATCGTCATAATCTGCTGTAAGATTTCTTGCAACTGTCGCTTTCTAGTTTCTTCCGTCAACATTCCTGAGTTATTTCCCAGAGAACCTAGGCCTAGATCTTGACCGGATCCGTCGCCAAGCCCTACTGAAGTGGGAACCCCCTGGTGTGCAAGATGCCCCCACCCTCCGGACGCTCCAGAGACAGAAACACCCCCGTGCATGTTGACCCCCGAGGGGTCCACACCGGAGTGCATTGCAGCAGCATTCATCTGTTGTTGCTGCTGCTGTTGAAGAAAGGCAAGTGCGAATCTGTGTTGATCATCCATATTTTGAGGATTATCGTACGCGTTGCCTAGTATCATATCTACCTGGAAACTCGCTCATCGTAAAATACAATTTTTAAACCATGAAAAAACCGATTATGAGAAAGCAAACAATTTTGAGAAATGAAAACACCGATTATGAGAAAATTAATTCAACGACTTAACAAAGATTAGTTAATTAAATCAACAATTGTTAGTTCATCGAATCAACCAAGACAACAGCTCACACGAAAACGACTGCAAAATAAATATATACACATTTACAACTGTACAAATTCGCTGATAAAAAGTTTTTGATGACTAAAATCAGCTATTCTCATAAGCTAAACTGCAAACTTTGAGTCCACAAGAGAACACCAATCAGTAATTAGCAACTATTCATTCAGTTCATTCATATTTGAGATTTCTAGTTTTTCCTTGTTTCTAGTAATGTCGAACTACCAACGTCTTTGATCTCGTTGTTTTTGATAGCTGCTGGTCTTTCAACTTCTAAAATAGCCAACATTTAAGTGCTAATATCATGATCACAGAAAATCAAAACCAACTTAGGCTGGAAAGCAATTGAATTTTACGTCTAGTAGGCTAATTGTGTGCCCTTTGTCTATCGTTTCCATCAGGAGCTTTCAGTTTTTGAAATTGATTATATTATGGTTATTATTAGATATCTCAGTCGAGAATAAAAGCCGACGCCCAATAGGCTGAAAATCAAACTAAAAATAATTAAACATAGCCAATAGACAGTTGAAAAAGAGTCAATGAAGTATACACAAAAAAAATACTGACTTGTTTCTTGAAAAAAAAGTCAACTTTCGAATTTCAAAAAAACCGATGCCCTTAAAGCTTTTTGAACTTCTAGAACAAATTATGCTTGCACATTTATGATAAATTAACGCAATTTGAAAGATTTATTCAACTGACAGTCTTCGCCCTATGTTTGTTTCACCTTAAAAAAATTCAATTCAAAGTTTTAAAAAGGTGGAGTTTTTTTGACATCATTAAGTCATCATCGTTCAAGTTTTGGAAGTCGCCGCGTCGCAAGATTTGCGTTTATGCAAACTTGACGCTGCCTTGTTTTTTCTCGGCATTTTTTTCTAAACTGAATTTCAGTCGAGGCAAATCGTCAAGTGAACTTTGACTTATTCATTGCCAAGTTTGATATGCTATTTAAAAGATTTGTTGCAAGATTTAGACACAAGGTCAAGGTTTCGCATGAAAACTTCTGCGTATAGTAGGCGAAAAGATTGCATACAAAAATGATAGGGGGCTTCTTGAAGAATAGGCTCTAGTCATTCTAAATTGTAGCACTTAATTGAAAGGTGAAACTGATTCTGTAGCAAAATTGAAAACATAGCATAACCAATAGACAGTTGGAAAAAAGTCAATGAACGAAAGTAAATCGAAAAAAAAAACTACTGACTTGTTTTTAGAAAAATTTTTTTTTAGAAAACTTCGAATTTGGAAGAAAACAGATTGCCCTAAAGTTCTTCGAATTTCAAGAACAAATAATGATTGACTATTCATTGATAAATTAACCCAATTTGAGAAAACTGGATCAATAAGTAAAACTTTTATTTCGCTGAGAAATCTGAAAATTAAACTCAACTTTCGAAACTAGAAGCTGATCATGTTTTTGGTAACCTTTTCTCTGATCGATACTGGAGTTTCCTTTCCTTTTAACAAAGGCAATGAGCTGAACGCGAAACCATCAAAAGTCAAATCGCAAAAAAATACATTGCCTGAACAAATTTAAGAACTTTTCCTGAAAAAAAAGTAGAAAAAAATCAGCGAGACCTATAAGAATGTTCACTACATTCATCAATTCTTTAAAAAAGAGCATGCAAACACCGCAAATTATTCAAGTGATTTTTTAAGAATCTGTTGTCCAAAAATTTCTAAATTCAATTACAAGCGTAATGAACCAAGCACAATTAAAAACCATTTCAATATATAAATTTTGTTTTTAACTAGGAAACCTGATAATTAAAGTTCACTTTCGAAAAAAAATCAAGCTCGTTTTTCCGCCAAATTTGCTAAGGTAATTGAAGATTGTAACACGACTTGACTTCCCTTTGAGCAAATTGTTTCAAATTGAATTGTAAAAAATTCAAAATGTTAAATTTTCGGTAGACTATTTGAGATTTATTTTAACAACTACCTCCAAGTTCTAGCAATTTCGCCCGACAAACAAATATTACTATTCAAAGCTTATATTTGTTTTTAAGGAAAATTTTCAAATGAACTCCATAAAAATATCTACTGAAGCAGAATCAATCGAAATGAGGAACACAATTTAATTCTGACCGCTTTATAAGAGTCCAGCATGATACGGTTGCTCTGAATTTGCCCCTTATGTTTGTAAAGACGATCACGCTCTTTGACTTCTGGAAGAGATTGGTACAACCTAAACAAGCAACGCAATATCCATGATGTCAAATCACTTTTTCCGATAGCAACCATTTCGTTGCCCTTTGCCGATCATACACTTCAACACGAATGCTTCTGAAACAAACATAAAAACTTACCGCTCAGTTCTCGACCTCATTTCACTGCGTGTGATTGGCTTTTTCTTGGCATTGTTGCAGTCTAAAACAAGCTAAGTTTGCCTTATCCGATTTCTTATTTAGAAGATAACCAATAAATCAATTGAATGGCGTTACTGTTGCCTCAGCTGGAGCGCCTTTAATTTTCGAAAAGTTTGTAATCCAAATTTTTTTTTGATTTCAAACAAAAACTGATTTCACTTTTCTACATTTAAACTGTTTATCAATAATCATACAGGAGAAATCGAAAAGCCAGTAGAAACGTCAATTTTCAGATTCGCTTGACGTTTATTGTACATGACTTTAACTGAAATATTGAATTGAATTATTTAGTGAGAAAATATACATATACAGACTCTGGAAAACCAAAAACAAGAGGATCAAGATACTAACAATTATGATAAAATGATTTCATGTAAATCGGAATTATCTATTAGAAAACAGTTCTTAATTGTATACCTGTATTTATAAATTTCGCTTGTCTTTAATTGTTAATGGTCTTTAATTGTTTTAAATATTCAACAATTCTAATCGAAAACAACGTTGTCAGCATCCTGAGCCAATTACCTGATAGTGACTATAAAAGGCCCCAATCAGTGGTTTATACCTTAATGACAAAAGAAAACCAACTTTTACAGACCTCTAACAGGGATGACAGAGGCCCAACGAGGACTGTCTCTAGCCTGGATCGCGTCCAGTACTTTGGTCTTAGCCGGAAGTCCGTGGGATCCCCTGGTAGACATGTTAATGTTAGCTCGCTTGTGTTCGTAGATCTCCTGCATGTGTCTTTCCGCTGCTCGGATAGAGATCAGTCTTTGTCGTTCGCGCGACTTGCGCAACACATCCGCTTTATTCAGCAGAAACGCATCCTGGAAACTATACGTAGTTAACTTATCAGCAGCAAAAAAGCACTTTGTTCCAGTTCGCAAATGACAATTCAAAACAATGATGCACATGAGACTGGGATTTTCAACTAAATCGGAGCGACATTTTTTGAATTTACCTGAAGTGTCAACTTGGAGGTTCCGCGTGGCTTTTTCATCTCAGTTGGTAGTTGCTTCGGCCGACCTGCATGTCCTACATTCTCTTCTTCGTTTTCTTTGTCACTGAGCGAAAAGAACCACGACAGAGTATTTTGTGGACTTTTCAAGTTAGCCGCTTCCATAATTTGCCTTGAAGCTTTCGTCTCCTTTCTAAAATGAGTTCATTGCGCCTTCTATTGATATTCTCAGGTAAGATATACTTTGGAATCAAAACAAAAAGAATTTAAGCCATTTAATTGAAATTTCATCGTGATAAAAATAACACGACCTAGATAACGTTTACTACCCACTAATTTACGTGAAAACATCATCGAATGAATGTCTTCCGACACTAGAAAACTCCGCTCAACTCGAACTCTTTCCTTCCTGGGAGTATATCCATAATAAAATTGATTGGTTTGTTTTGTCATTACCTGGTCTTTATATTTTCATTTGCTCTTAAAGCGTTGTCGAAATTAACACCATTCAATCCCATCTCGCTCTGATAGCCAAACATCAACTCCCTCGAAGTCTGAACTGAAACTGTTCTCTTCGATTCACACACTAAAACCTCGTCCATTTCCTCGTTAGAGTTTGACTTCTTCGCTCTAGACTTTGGTTTGCCAGTGACGCGTTGTATATTATTTGTTGCTATTCCCTCTTTATCTATTTTAACCCTTCTATTTGCGGCTGAAGATGCCACATGTTGAACTTCACTCATAGGCGCAACATTCCTTTTCAAGTTCTCTTCTTCCGAAGCTTTTCTGGAAAGCCACGACCTGCTCGGTTTTTCGGTACCCTGAGTTTTAAATTTCTTTCCGGCATCGGAAACTGACGTAGTGTCAAAATCACTTTCCGGCATCAGTGATAAATTTGCAGCCTCTTTGACTCCTTCTAACCACTGACGTGCAAAGTACTGAACTGGGTTGCAAATCAACTGGGAAAAACAATCAATTTCATCCCGAGAAGACTTCGGATTTGTTGTCTTACCCGTTCGATTTTCCCCTTTCCCAGCTTTCGGGAACTTCTCCCAGAGTCCGGTTAATTTCGGATTTCTCGCCTTCCTGTTGTCGTTATCCATTTTATTTCTAGTTCTCTCAACAACATTTCTCGACGAGGGATAAAAATGGCTCAGAGGTTTAGAAGACATTACAGTCGGCTCGCTATTGTCACTTTTGTCCAATTCAAAGCACTGTGACAAATCTTCTCGACTTCGTCTCAACTTTTCTCGCTTCCTTGAAGGTGATCTTCTGATGTCAGCTCTTCTCAAATCGCGTTCTGGCGAATACAGACTATCATTCATATCGCGAAAGAAAGACGAATTACAACTTTCGGTCACTATACTCATTACACTTCCCACAAAATGACTCGTGTCATTCAAGCTTTTATCGTAATGGTACTCGAAGTCGTCCACACTTTCGGTGATAAAAGCCGTTGAGTTGTTCAGGCTATAGTCATGTGCATATGTACTTTCATTTC